TCTTGGAAGGAATCCCCTTGTCCATTAATTACAGGGTTTTAAAAGTATACAGAATCATTGTGTAAACAAGTCAGGAGCCTGATGATAGAATTATAGAGTTAGAAGGAGCCCCATAGTAGGGCATTGAGTTCAACTCTCCACTCTGTGCAGGAACTCCAGCTAGAGCAGTGGTTCCCACCATTGGTCTTTGATTTGTTTTGGACTTGAGCTCCCAGAAGCCCCAGCCAATTTGGCCAACAGTCAGAAACTATGGGGCTGAAATCCAAATTACCTGGAGGACCAAAGGTGGGACCCACTGAGTTAGAGCATCCCCAATAGGCAGATGTCCAGACTCTTTTTGAAGACATCCAGAGAAAGAGACCCAACCACAGTAATTGATGCCACTGCTGAACCAGGATTTATAGCCTGTCTCTCTAATTTAAAATATTAGTTCAAGCCCTGGCCTGTAGTGACACCAGTATTTACTAATGACATAGCAATCTTGTGTTTGAAATATAATTGCACATATTCCTAGTCAATTTACACCCCAATCGAGCTATGGCATCCTTCCCTCAACCTGGTACCCACCAGACATATTGAACTACAACCAATGCTGAGAAGGAATTCATTTTTGAAGTAATGAAGTAATTAGCTGAGACAAATCTATTTGTAATTCTCATTACTGTAATTTGCTACTTTTCAGTAGGACAGGAACAAGTTGTATAACCATTACTCCTTATTGGTGTCTGTGTGTACTGACTCAATCTGAGCAATGGGAGGGGGAGAAGGATCCTTGTGCTGCAGCCAGGAGGCATTGATCTTTTGCATTTTTTTCATAATGTCTAGTTACAATATCTGAATTGACCACTTGGGGGAACCAGAGATCATTTTCCTATATATTCCAGTGGCACAAGAGTAACTGTATTGGTAACTTGTTAATAATGAGTAACTGGGTGAGTTACCTCCTTGGACTGCAGCAACAGTCACCTTGGATCCCCTGTTGGGAGAAAGGTGGACTACAAATAAAATAAAATAAACAGTAATATATGATGACCTGCTTGCTGATCAGAATAATTAGTAATTATTTTAAGCATTAATTCCAAGCTTGGACTACAACTTCCAGAACTGGGAGCTAATTGGAAGTCTCTGTCTCCTCTTAGCATTTTGCCATCTTCTCCATGCAGTGGTCTTCCTTTTGCTACGGACATAACAAAAAAGCCCCTTATGTTGTTTTGAACCTCTCTAGCAAGCCTGCGCTCATTCTGTGCTTTAACATTTCTGCCTTTCTCCCTACATAAGCTGGCTGTTTGTCTGAATTCTTTGGTGATTTTTCGCCCCTTTTCCATTTCTTATACATGTCCCTTTTAAACCTTAGCTCAGCTGAAAGTTCTTTAGACATCCATCTGGGTTTCTCTAAACACCTCCCAATTTTTTCTTCATTGGAACTGTTTGAAATTGGTCTTTCAGTA